GTATTTATTCTCAGGCTAATAAATTATTTTATATAGTATTATAAGAGACGGTAATTCCGCTTCTGGAAATGTGGCTTGAACATGCCATTTCCGGCACCTGCCGTGTCGCGCAATTCTTGTCAGATGCAAGCGAGTTCAGATTATTCAGGTTGTCAAGTGTGTTCTGTTGTTGTGCTTGTCCTTCACTGCTTCTTCAGCGTACAGAGATTGATCATCTGTCTTGGTGGGTCAGATGCCCTGTGCGTCTCTGCCCCCCTGGAGATCTTCCGGTGTCTATTTCCGGCTCCCATTCAACACACCCCCCCAGGAACAATTCCTTCCATTGGGGTTGTTCCTGAGCATTTGGTCTGGTTCTCTGATGATTCCTGTGATAGGTACACATCACCACATTCTCCACCGGGCAATATATCTTCCATATATTGAAGATCTTCATCCGAGAGCTCTTTGGTTCATTGTTGCTGTATCCGATCTCTTATATCCACGAGTCCTAATTGCCTCGTGAATTTTCTGAATGCTGCGACAGGGAGTACTTTCGTCAAACTATCTGCCATCATATCCCCAGTAAGAACGTATTCCACCTTGATCCTCTTCCGTTAAGCTTCTTGTCGTAGCCAATGATTGTGAATATCAACGTGACGCAGCTTGGTCTGTAGTTTGGCGATGTCTTTGTTGACGAGGCCGATCGTCTGCTTATTATCGCAGTATATAATGATTTAAGAGCTATCAAGCCGGACTCCAAGTTCGCAGATTAGGCGGGAGACGAACATGGCTTCTTTAGCAGCCTGCGCAAGGGACAACAACTCCGCTTCTGTAGTGAAAGTAGTCACTGTAGCTTGCTTGTTCACTCGCTAACCAATAATCCCTCTGAACAGTCTCATGACATATGCTTGTAAACTCTTTCTATTGATAGAATTGTCAGCAAAGGAGGCGTCGCTAGCTACTTCGAACGTGTCTGACCCGCCGTATTGTAAGGAAAGATGTTGAGTTCGAGAGAGGTATCAAATGAGTCGATCTGCTTCGGAATGGTGCTCTAGGCTAGGATTTGTGTTGAATCGTGATAGTCAAGAAGCCGCAAAGGCTATGTCTGGGCGTGTGATCACAGCAGCATACAGCATAGATCCAATCTTCTTCTGATATCTATGGATAAATTTTAGCATGGCTATTCCGTCAAAGGGGAGAAGTTCTTCGTTCTTCATAGGAGTATCGTCTCTGCCTGTCCAAACCTTCTCAGCTAGCCGGGATATCTTCTCTCCATACGATGACTGAGATAACCAGAGGAGCCGTCTCTTCCGGTCTCGGATGATCTCGATGCCAAGGAACCACTGAAGATCATCTCCTCCAGTAAGCTGGTAGGCCATCTTAAGCCGACTGATCAGATGATTGGCTGTAGCTTCTTTCTCCTTCTTGTACGCAACCACTATGTCGTCCACATAGAAGAATATGAGAACTCCATTTCTTGTGAAGCAATATGGCTCATAAGGCACGAGAGTATATCCGATATTTGTGAGGGTCTTGGTCAGCTCTTTCTGCCATAAGAGAGGGGATTCTCGCAACCCATAGAGGGCTTTCAAGAGACGAAGCAATACTCTTGGCTTCCGGTACCCTGGGGGCATCTCCATACATATCTCCTGGTCTAGTTTGGCGTTAACGAATGCATTTACAGTATCATACTGTATCAGTTCCAGGTCGAAGCGAGCTGCTATAGCCATCAGTGTTCTGAAAGAACGGCCGGCAAGTGTAGACGCATAGGTGTTCTCGGTCTGTCCGGTGGGCTGCTAGTCCCCTCGTACCACAAGACGGGCTTTGCATTTCAGGAACCAGCCGTGCTTGTCGAACTTGTAGACGTATACCCACATGCAGTCTAACACCTGTTTGCCGTTAGCTGTGCTTTTCTCGACTTCTTTCCATGAGCTCATCTCATGGTGGCTCTGAAGATGCATTCGCTCTGCACCTCTGAACCCCTGACCCATCAAGTGGTCTCGTAGATCCTTGTGAGTTCTCGGTAGTGATGGGAGCTCGCTCCGGTGGATTCTAGCTCCACTAGCAAGTTTTTTTGTGAGCCTCTTAAGGTCTGAAGATCCCTGAGGCAGTCCAATTTGTCCAGTTTGTGTGCTATTAGGGTGGCGTTTCAGACGGTTTACCATCCGGGCTTTCTTAGCCTTGCTCACCGGCTCACTGTGCTTCATCTCCGCGGCGCTTAGGCGTCCTGCATTGAACGTGGCCTCCCAGCAGCTCAAGCGTGGTGTCACTCCGATGTAGGACGACTCTGTGGTTATCCCGGACAACACAGGGGCTGCGCTCATAGCTGCAGATCTTGTCCCTGTACTGCCAGTTTCTCTGATAGCTGCAATAAAAAGTGAAGCTGCAGGAGGAGGAGTGTGTTCGGGCGTCAGATACGTTATAAAGAAAGCGTTTGTGTAGAGTTGATCAGGCTCACACGCTTCTCCAGAGTCCTCGTCAGAGGGTCCATGTACGTCCAAATTCACCACATCATCGCTCCTTTCTACTCGACCACGCTTATCACTTTCTGCAATGAAGGGACTGACGTCCTTATCCTCTTTGCTGATAGCGGGACCAGTTTCAAGACTAGAAGCACCAGGTACTTCCACGTCATGTAATAGCTTGACTACCTCTTCTTCAGATACGTAAAGGAGGTCATCCTTCAAATCTTGGAGGTCTCCGCTAAAAATTTGATCTTCGTCGAAGATGACGTCTCGAGTGGCTATCACTTTGTTGGTTAAGGGATTCCATATTCGGTAGATATTTGTTGAATTGTAACCGACGAGGTAGCCGATCCAAGCCTTTGGATTAAGCCGCTTCTTCCGCTGCATCTTCAGCTGCGCATCGCTTGTCAAAGCAAATGCTTTGCATCCAAATACTCGGAGGTGTCCCTGCTTGGGCTTTTGGTCTCCTACAAGTCTATCTCTGTATACCAGGTAAGTGTAGAAACGTTCATAAGGAGTCATCCAGTTATAGATGTACTTAGGGGTACGATTGTATAGATATACCGCTGTTCAGAAGATCTCAACCCACAGATATGCTGGCAACTTGGCTCCATTTCGCATCGAACGGGCCTTGTCCTTAATCACACCCCCCGAGTGCTCGGCGCCTCCATTCTGGTCTTGTGTGTTAGGCGCTAAGGGTTCCACCTTCATCTTCTTGGTTATAGTGAGAAACTGATACACACGAGGCTTCTGGGTCGTGAGCTCGTTGTCGCATTCTATCACCTCTGGCTTGACCTGATTCTGGTGCTCCAAAATCCCGAATAGCAACTCACAAGTTGCTATAAGCGTATCCGTCTTTCGGTCGCTCAGATAGAAGTCCCAGATATATCCAGACCATCTGTCAGTAACAAGCATGATGCTGTTCAGTCTGTTGCTATCTCTGTCGAGGTCGTAGAAATCGATTGCTAGGCGGACTCCGGGCTTCCCAGGTCTATCTCGCCATGTACGTCTCTTTTGCTTCTTGGCCTTCCCGCAGGCGCATGCGTCACATTTCACGGTTGTGATACGTTCTTTTGCTGAATCTCTAGGCTTTGAGTCCTTGATCTTCACCTCCTAAGAGTGGCTTACAAGATGATCAAGAGCATCTGGCCCTGGGTGACCTAATCTGAGGTGCCATCGGCGGCTATCGGCAGTGCAAGGCGCCTTCTCGGTCTATGAGTTGTATTTCTTCCTTCGGATAAAGAATGCACGTCTTGTTAAAGACTCAGACAAATATTCAATCATGTATTGCTCATGCCGATCCGTCAGCTTGCAGAGGATCGAATCATCCTTCCTCCGAAGATAGTTATTGCTTCTTTTGTTGTCCCACCAGTACCCCTGGCGCTTGAGAAGTCGGAGTGATACCAGGTTGCATGCAAAGCCTTCGCAGAATGCCATATTGTGTAAGCGCATAATTCTTGACCCAGAAGGGCCAGTAACGCATATATCGACATCTCCATAGCCTAGGATAGGGACTACTGTGTCTCCTGCAAATACTGCGTCACCCTGAATCGCCGACCAGAAGTTTAAAAACCTGCTGATCATGTTGAATATGTGTAAGGTGGTCCCAGAATCCAGGATTGCTGAGTTCCTCAATGGATATGTAGCAGTACTGAACGCGGCAGCGTCGGCTGTAAGGAAGGCGGCCTTTGTCTGACCCATTGTCCGCACTAGTCATTTGGGCTTGACGGGTGTTGGCTTCTGGTTAATTCTCTTGATCAGTTCTTCGAGGGCAATATCTTTCTTGATTCGCTGGTTGATAACTTTCTGGTATCCTTTGTTTGGATGCCAATGTTCTGGTGCCTTCCCGTCAATAACATAATAACACTAGGTTATGTCGTGAAATCCTAGGCACGCCTTGCAGGTAGGCCTATCTGGATTCGTTTCTGTGTCGGCTCGTCTTCGTTTGGAGCCTGTTCGAACTCCTCTCGTCCCCCGTCCACGTGGTCTCTCCTGGTTTCCTTTTCGACCCTTCGTTTTGTCTGTTGGGGGTAATGGATCAGAAGTGGCGGAATCAAGCTCTTTTGTGTCTTCTATTGACACATCTTCGTCATATCCGTAGGTAGCTGCGAATGCGCCCTTGGCGATCCGTGGTGCTATTGCTCGGTGATGGTCTTTGGCGTATTCTCGTAGAAGCCCTGCTATCTCTATGTAGCTGATAGAGCCGTTATTAATTTCTTTCTTGTGCCCCATTCTGAAGCTTGTCGTCTAGTCGCCCATTACTGACGATAATGCATCTATCAGATCTGTGGCCACTGAATTTGAATCAATAGCTTCTGGTACCCCCTTTTCTATAGCATACGCAACGGCAGTTTCCCATTGCGATATCCATGCACCCAGGTCTTTCGGCATCTTCGTGAGATGTGTTGTCGCCCGTCGGTATCGGTTTCGAGCCTCCGGCTACTGGCGGGATGTATATACGTCCCCAATGTTCTAGAGATCCTTATACCACTGATCGATCTTTTTTGTGGCCTTGCAGATTGTTGCTCGGTATGATTGTTGAACGGTATTCAGTATCTAATCAGTCATGGATTTGACGTTCTTCCGATGTTCTGTGTATTCCCTGCTCTTGTGGGTGTAGTGATTCCAATCCTGGATATATGCCGATCTCCCAATCTGTGTCATTTCCATGGTATTTGTTGGCGTTTTATTCAGGTCGACCGGTTCTTCTTCTCCACCGACGGTTATTGAGCTTGATGTTCTTGTTCCTCGGCCGAGCTTCTTCGGGTAATTGGCGTATGAGGGTTCTTTTGGCTGTGTCGGCCAAGCAACCCTGTCTTTTGGATTGATGTAATCCCAGAGGTCAAAGGCTACGGCTTGGGTCTGGAATTTGGCGTTGAATCGTTCCCAGTCTTTGGGGCGAGAAAAGATAGTACGATCGGTGTTTGGTGTCATCATTTTGGTGATATATAGATCTAAAAATTGTTTGATCGTTTGTAGGTATTCTCCTTTCAGAGCAAATGAGACTCTTAATTGTCAGATGCAAGCGAGTTCAGATTATTCAGGTTGTCAAGTGTGTTCTGTTGTTGTGCTTGTCCTTCTCTGCTTCTTCAGCGTACAGAGATTGATCATCTGTCTTGGTGGGTCAGATGCCCTGTGCGTCTCTGCCCCACTAGAGATCTTCCGGTGTCTATTTCCGGCTCCAATTCAACAATTTTTGGCCATGCAATCTCGCTGCTTTTTGCGCACCCAGAAATGGGATCAACCCCTCATGTACCTCCCAAGTCCACTTGTACCTCTTCTTCCCTTTGCTCAGTTCAGACTATGCTGAGCCTGACTCCGTCACAGCCCTGTCTGTATTCCAAATAGCCTTCGTTCATCAGTGGCATCAGTACCTCCAGTATATTTACACCTTGCAATTAACATATTGCTTTATTATTGACTGCGCTATTACAGTATTATTTATGACGTATCCTTGGCCTTTGAACTTGCGCGCTGTGGCTGTATTATAAGTCACTGAATAGGCCAAAAACATTCAGCTTGTCGCACTCGACCTGGGCACTTCCATGAGCGCCCATAGAAGAAGTCACCAGATCTGTATAGTAGCACCTCACATCATATCCTGGCCAGGCCGTAAACCTGCTCAGTGAAAAACGGCACCAAGGTTTGTGACATCACCTCGTTACGGCCTTCTCCGAACTACAGGAGGCATGAATCCCTAATCCACCAGCTTGTGATGACAGAAGCGAACAACGGCAGCAGATTTTCCTCATCAGGCAATTAACTATTTAGGTCGTAACTTGACCCAATATCCAGCCGGACAAGGCCGAAGGGTCAGCGGCTCCCCCGATACCTGCAGCATGTCACAGCAACGATGGAGCTTAGTGGAAGGCAATAGTCATCTCAGACATTTGGGGTACCCATCTATGAGAAAAAGTTTCTAGTCTCGATTTTGAACATCAGCAGAAGGTTCTTCCGTGCAAGCCATACGACTTGATAACGGATGCTGATAAGGGTTTTAATGCCAACAAGACTGCCTTTTTAAGGAATTCTGTATCCATTATGGCTTCTTGACTCCGTAAAGCTGATGCTAATTACCGAGGGCTCATAAATGCAAAGTGCCGTGCACTTGGTCAAGGAGTCGTGCACCAAAATACCGCCCTCAATGCCACCTGGGCTGGCAGTATCTGTATCCTTATTGAATAACCCTTGAAGCTGTCAGGGCAAGGCCATCGAGCAGATAGATGCTCCTTGACTGGTACCTGCTAATTTGACGCATTACTGCCTACAACCCTGCAACCCTTGTGCTGGTAAGCAGTCAGAAGTAACCCCTATATTGAAAGACTTTCCTGGCCTTCGCAAAGCTATAGTGCCTGGGCAAAAGCTGCGGAAGATACAAACGAGGAATATAACAGACCTGGCATCATTTCTAATGCCTGCTTTCAACCTTAACGACACTCTAAAAAACCACAAAGGTCACAAGGCATTGCTTGCCTGCTACGACGACCTCTTCAGGAAGTTTTTGTCTTGGCCTTGCTACCATCTGCTTATGCCTATTCTCAGCTAGTAACGAGCTGGACCAAAGGCCAAGATCACCCACAATCAAGGTGGAGCATATTAGGCTGTGTAAGCATGAGTAACCGCCTCATCTGCTATGAGTAGGGTATCTTGTTCCTGTACCCTGTATCTTTATGCTAAGGCTACTCCGGGAGGAATAGCTGGTGACCCCTTTTTAACCTTGCCGGATGCGACTTTCCGGCTAGCCGGCCCCTAACGGGCTTCCTGATTAGCCCAGATAAACATTTCTGACACGTCGTATACCCTTTCACAGCCATCTGCAGAAAGAATCTTACCGCCGGAGAACCCGTGAGGCTGACGTTGACCCGTTTGTGACGATCTTGGCGAAACAGAATCAGATGTGGCTACAGACTATCGTATGATGTTTTGCTGGTATTGCCATTTTGAGATAGTCAAGGATTGGAAGGAGGCGGAGACGTGGCAGATAGTAATATACCGCCTTCTTGAGAGCTATAACCTATTCTGTACTTCAAAGACGTTAGGCTTATCTTGGCAACCCCTGGTACATGATGATAATCAGGCATTGCTACTAACATGGATTGAGAGCTGGGTTTTGTGGCAGGGTGTAAAGTATATAAGTCGTCTTTCTTCAATCACTTGGAGGGGAAGTGTTCTAACTCAGTCTTGCTTTATCTTGTCCAAATGTCTATTCTGAAATTCAAGGCATGGTAGCCACTAAAGCCAAAGCCAAAGCAAACAACTGCCGCTCCTACATCAAAAACAAACCCTTGGCAACCTATGAGCTTCCTCCAGATGCCTTCAGTCCACAGCAATCTTGTCCCTCGAGTCGACAATGAGGCACTCAACTGCTATGAGACCCAGAGTGTCCAGTGGTCCCTTAGGGGAGGTTACACTGTTCAAACCCCAATAGAACAGGACACTAGAGCCTTCAGTCGCGGTAAGCCATCCAATGACGAGTCGGCAAGCATTTCAAGCCAGCCTAGCGCATTCCTTGAAAATGCCGGTGGTACAGACTTGGACGACAGTGCCATCAGCCTTTGCCAAGCCGCTGCTTCCACAGAACAACCATCAGCCTGCCATAATATGGATAACACTATAGATATGTATAAGTATATACTTATCACGAGAAAGCTTAGACTGATCTTGTCACCCCGTAACAGGTATTGAAGACTATAATCAGAATTATAGCAGCCCAGAAAATGCCAACCCTGACAACTTTACCTGGTCCTAAGCCACACCTGCGTCGAACCCAAACTGCATAAAAGATAACAAAGATGCCAAAGCCCGTTTTCCAGCGGCCAAACTATTTGCAGATATACTGGTCACCTTTTTCTCCAAAGGTTCATCTCCTCAATTGTGCCAAAAACCCTTGGCGACCGGCCCTGGCAGTGTTGCTCTAATGCCAAACCCCGATGCTTCCGAGCCCATTCTGAACAAAATTTCCTAGCCCCAACGCACAAGGTCTAGTAACAACCATCAAGAATCTGATGGGGATAGGTCCTCTGATAACCTTGTCTTGAGCCCTGGTCAGACAAAGAAATACATTAGAGAAACCAAAATTCGCCCTCGGGCTGAGTCATCTATGGACCTACTAACGGCCCCTTCCTCTGGTACAGAAGGGTCAACACCGCCAAGAAGCTTACGCTTGCTGCCTTCTGGAATGCGAGTAGATGGGCTGGGCAGACCGATCCCTCATCATGTCTCAAGCCAATCCAAGCAGTTATCCGATGGTCAGAAGCGGCTTGTAGAAAGTCTGCCCGCAAACCTTCTAATGGAGAGGCGACGGGTAAGTCGACGATCCCTCCGTGACTGAATCAAACAGAGAACGCCTATCTCAGAGGGCGTAACAGACACCAAGCGAGTTCGGTCACTACGAGCACTCGAAATAATGGCAGGCCTGGTCACGAAGTACTTGGCTCAAAAAAACTTGCCTCTTTTACTGTTGCTGTTCCAGAATCATTTGCGGCAAGTTTGCGACGCTTATGGCTTTTCTGCTGAGTATATCCTCGAGTTATGCAACTCGGTTAAAGCTATATACAAAAAGAAGAACAGTATGACTATAATGCAGCTGTTTCTTGGTTTCATTTGCAGTCATGCCACCCAGAGACTTGCCCAAGGCGGGCAGGCTGCAGATATGAACCGCTCCTATGACGGTGTGGCTTGCAGCCCCTCTGTGATTCCTTCCATGACGCCAATACCTCTATTTAGCATGTGAAATGGACGCATCAAAAGCGTTGAGAGCGATAGCGATGCAGAAAGCCAGGCAGGTAGCTATGACTCTATCCCAGACCAAAGTGCCGGTTTAGGAGAAGAGGATGATACAGTAGTTAAGAGAAGTCGATAAACAGAACTCGAAGAACTTCAACTGCGTGGGTGAGTGGCAGAAGAAAAGGGATAGTTATGAATTACGAAGAAGTTAGACCGAAGCGAAGGGGCTGTCTCACAGCATTGGGCCATTATGTCAAAGGAAGGCTGGAAGGTATAAAAGGTGAACAGTGTCTTGTCAGAGGCTTGTTGATCAGGCATTTTGTTGTCTTTGTTGCGTTTACTTATAGTTTAAAAGGCGCTTTTGTTTGATAGATGTTGACATTATGCAGTATATATTCCTTGTTATACACGTTTAATTGGCGTGACTTTATTGGGAAAGACAAGTCAGTAGATTGGTATCATGGGTCACGTGGCAGGCCGTGGCAGAATAAGACCGGCAGAAAGGATACGTATGTCGTCATGCCCGGCAGAATAAGATGGGCAGAAAAAAGGATGTATTATCATTATGCCTGGCAGAATAAGATGGGCAGAAAAGGTATGTACTGTCATTATGCCCGGCAGAATAAGATGGACAGAAAAGGTACGTACCTACGGCTAGGTGTTGCAGAATCGGTACGTACCTTGGTGGGGTTTGGTAGAAAAGGTGCGTATTTGTCAGTGCAGATTCCACAACAACGGCAGAATATAGCCACCACCTCATTGTGCGAGGCTGAGGGGAGGCGCTATTGCTTTGGCTTCACTACCTGCCTTTGACCCCTCCGCTACCCATTTAATCATAACCACCTTTTACATTACCATTGTGCTTCCAGTTGGCAGGTAGGTTTTCAGATCAGCCGGTCTTGTCAACAAGTTATGTTTTGATCAAAGCTCCTTTGCCCCTTCGTTCCTTTCCTCCCTTGATCTTACAGCTATTAACTAGATGTGCATGTAGAGACTTACCTCTAAATATCCTTCTCTATCAAACCTGATCCACCCGACGCGTTATCTATGGACCTGCCCTCCGACACCCTCAATACTACCGCCGTCTACATTACATCCAAAACTCTGCCACTGTTTGATATGGACATTGCTAGCTATCAAATGGCAAGAGTCAAGGTCGCCGCTTTGGCTTGCTGTTTAAGCTGCGGTAAGAAGTACAACCCAGCACGCAGCCCTTGATAGCATCATTTCCTATACGCCAACGACGATGGGACCGTCAGTCCATACGACAGTACCCGCCACGACCACATTGCCATCGCGAGACCCTGCAGAACATTCGATCGACAGCAGTTGCCTTCCGCGATGGGCTTGCGGATAACGTTGTCCCTCAGCTGCTGGCCAGACTGCTGATGGCATTCGAAGCCTAAGAGGTCGGGATGGACGAGGTAATGGCATTGGCTGCTTCATCGTTTCGGGACGAGGCAGAATGGGTCTTGCAAGAGATGGCCCGTCACCCTGGCTGTAACCAGATCACCTGGTGGATCATGGACAACGACAGTGGCGATCCTATAGCAGATGTCAGCATTTAGATGATGACATGCGTGGCATGGAATAGTGACAACAACGGAGTAAAATGTAACAACAAACGCGGTGCTCTTCATATCGTCAAATACTGCGCCCTATAAACCGGCCCAAAAGTTAAGAGGTCGACAGGCAAGAAGGGATAAGGTGTCATTGTCGCCTGTGCTGCTCTAAACGTCAAGCGCGAACAGCCCGCAAGCTGCTCGTTTTAAATACGCACTGCAATACTTATTTATGACATTATGGTGGTTTTCCTTGCTTCCTGACTATCTGACATTTTTTATTAAGGACATCGAGTTGCTAAACTCAGAGACAGTCACTGCTCAAGTATCTCAGCGATTCTGTTGTGCCCATTCTTTCTCGTTACCATGAGAGCAGTGTCCCCTGGATCGTAAGACGGCCAAGTATAAGGTGCATTTCGAATAGTTGTCTCCGAGATAATGCTGACTTCATTCGTGGTCAGAAGTAGGCGGACTACCTGTCCATGACCATGTGCCGCTGCGATCCACAATGGTGTCATACCCCATATGTTCCGTGTATCAGGTGGTGTTCTGGTCTGGAGAAGCTTTTTCACTGTGGTTGTGGTTCCTGATGCTGCCGCGTCGTACAGTCTGGTGATAGCAAAATCCTCCTCTTGGACAGTGACAATGCAGGCTAGGCAGGAAAGGAAGCAAAGAATGTCGAGTTGGCCACAAGCAGCAGCAATACATAAAACAGCCCTAGAGATAACCGATCTAGTCAGTAGGCTTCGGTCAAGAAGCAGCGCCATCACCTCCTTGCCATTGCCTGTGTTCCCTGCTGCCGCCCTGACCACTTCCTCTGTGATGGAGAACTCGTCTCCTCGTCGGTCAAGTAGCAGCGCCATTATCTCCTCATTGAAGCTTTTGGCAATAGTAGAAACTACTGCTTCCGTGATAGGGACATCTTTCCCTCGTCGGTCAAGAAGCAGCGCCATCACCTCCATGCCATTCTCTTCGTTCCCTGCTGCCGCCTTGACCACTCCTTCTGTAACGGGAACCTCGTCTCCTCGTCGGTCAAGAAGCAGCGCCATCACCTCCTTGCCATTCCCTTCGTTCCCTGCTGCCGCCTTGACCACTTCTTCTGTGATGGAAATGGCGATGCTGGACAGCTGGTTTTCTCTGTCCCCGACAAACTGAGCCTTTGAGAATGGCAAGCCCTGTCCAATCTGGAGATTTCGATGGTGTTGTGTACGTATCTAGAGTTGCTGCCGGGAGACGACGTCGTTTGAATCGGCACAAACCCTGTGTGGAGTACGTAAGCGCCATCCATCATTGGCTCTCGTCATGTACGAACGGGGCTCAAGAGGCTCGGGGTCAGCATCGTCCTTTAGTAGGCATCTAGTATCTACATACCGCCTCCTTTAGCTGTATTCAGGCAACCACTTTCAAAAACCCAGCACGTTGATATGCTGGTGTCGACATTGAGGAGATCGTAACACTGTCCGTTGCGTGGAAGAGTGGTTCGTTGGACATCTCACTCAGAATTCAAGCTGAGCCTGATGCTTGTCCAAGGTTTCCATGTAATGATGGGCCTGCTGAGACGTACTCATATTGAGAGTTCCTACATGCGACAAGTTATACACCCAAAAGCAGCCTCGCGAATTCGCATAGCTGATATGACCTACCGATCGTGGTTGAGCGCGGGTTGACGCAATGTGTCTTCGCTGCTGTTCGGCGCACTTGTTCTCAATTCATCCTCATTCTTTGACTAATTGACAGCGACGCACCCATGTGCCGTCGACTTCCTTTCAGTTTTGACCGTCTCCTTGTGAGTAAGTGCACGGCACATCCGGGGGAAAGCGGTGCCCTAACTTGCTGTGGCGAGCAATCCAACGATTATCCAGCCATTATCGACAGACGGTGCCGTGAAGAAACACGTGTTGGTATAGTTCCGCTTTGCCACACGCCCAGGATGTCAGCCCCTGAGTTGATGGTGCCTGTGAAGGTGGCTTATGTTGGGCCCGGCGTTGAGTCCTGACACAGAACATGAATAGGAGTGTGACAAATGATTGTGTCATATTCCATATAAATAAACTGAGTAGGAGTTCAAACTACGGTAAGTCAAGGATTTAGTTCCTTGGCGCCAACGAACAAAATCCACCACTTCTCGAGGATCCTCTGCCTAGTAATAGGAAGACCCGAGGTGACTATTATTGGATATCGGCCCACCCAAACTTAGGATTCGATCTGTGCCCCACTCACCTTATCCATGCGGTATAGGACTGACAGGTTCAAGGTACGTCGTCATGTGTTCTGAAAATAGAGGCTTATGTCGCCCATTCTAGAAACGACATTCCCCTGGTAGGCACTATAATTACAACACTCAAGGTTCTGAAAATAGTTAGCATTACTCCCCACGAAGATTGTCCATCTCATTCATTCCTCTGGGAGCCCTCCCCTAATCAACACACATGGAGCTTTCTCGCCACCAAGGAGAATTCGAACGACGTCAGGACTCAGATCTCCGGAGAAATTGTTCCACAGCACCAACGTTGTGTATAAAGTCTGCGTGATACACAATCCTCTGAGATGAGGTCTTCGTTTCCTAGCTGGCAGCACTTTTCCCCGTCGACTCGGAACCAATTCCTCAAAAGCAAGTGGCTTCTGGAGAAGACCCAAGACCAACCGCTTATCATTCCCAATCCCTTCTTCTCAACCTTTCTCTCAGTCACCAACGCCAATCTCGCACCACTCGTTATATTGTCCACTAGTACGCCGACTAGGCTTCTGGCAACATGGCGTCCTTAATGAAGCTCGCCCTGCTCTCAATTGCCGTCATACCGACTTTCTCTTATCCGATCCTCTCCCCGCCGACTATCTTGCCCCGGATCGATTATTCGGCGTCTGAACCTTCCGTGCCCTTGGGCCTCCGTTCTGAGTCTCCTTATCTCGAAATAGGGGACTACAAGCTCAGCGAGCTAGTGAGAATCGGGCAAGGAGACTATGGTATTGTCTTCAAGGGCAAGGCTAAGAAGAAGCTCGGCTACGGCAGTATCGATATCGCAATGAAGGTTTGCCAGGAGGCTGCCATTGCAAGTTGCAAGCTGGAAGTCAAGGTCCTGCAGGAGCTGCATGGTAAAGTCCCAGGCGGGATCCCTGAGGTCTACGCAAGTTCGGACAGCACGGTGAACGACAGACCTGGCTTTTCATTCATCATGACCCTCGAAAAAGGTGGTACTCTCAAGGGAAAATCAGCTATCTATTCGGAACAGGAAAAGCCAGAAGACAAGCACTCCAATCTGGTGAAGCTTTGGACGACCTTGGAGGAGATACACGACGCAGGCTGGGCACACCGGGATATCTTCTCCTCTAACATGGCGTTTTCGGATAAGCGGGAGGCTGGTCAGCCATTCGGTCCGATGGTGTTTCTAGACTTTGGACAAGCGTCCGATGCGTCGAGAACGACAACACCTGTGGGTATCACGCTGAAATACGCGGCTCCAGGTAAGAATGCCACCACACTTCTAAAATGGTGCGCCGGGCTGTTATGTTCTTCGCTAACGGGTACCGTCTTCTTACAGAGGAAGTGGCATTGATCAATGCGCAACATTACGACCGCCGTGTGGTAGGGATTGATCCCAAGTTGGGAGATGTCTGGTCGTTGGGGTGCATCACTTGGCAGCTAATCCGTGGGAGTGAATGCACATGGGCGAAAGAAAATGAAAACTACAATCTCGACGAGGAGAAGTTCACGGAAATCATCAAGGACAAGCTGAAGGTCGGAGACGAAACGGTACATGATGACTTGGCAAAATGGTTTGCTGGTGTCTTGGCCGGCTCGCGGACACGGTTAACTTCGAAGCAAGCACGAGAGCAGTTCGAAAAAATCGACGCCGGCCATCTACCTGTTGTGCCACCTTACTACGACTCTGACTCCGACTCCGACTGAGTAACGGATCGGGGACCAGTGGTCGAGGTGATGTGTCCGATAGCTATAGCTGGTGGCGCTAATGGATATTTATGGGCTGTGTAGGACTTACAATGTGTATTTCTATGTGCACGATATTGTAAACGAAGTTTGATGGTCTTCTCTTTTATCCTCCATTCGGCGGACCAGCAGGTAGAAGGAAGCTGGTCCTCGCCAAGCCCGCGTAGCGCAGGCGTGGGAAGGGGTACGTGATCAGCTCGTAAGCAGGATCTGCAAACTGTAGTAGCGCGCGGCAGTCCTTACCAAAAAGGTTGTCGCATCTAAGGAGCCGTTATCAACTAGCACAGTTCAGAGAGATCGAAGGCTGTGCCTACACTGCCGAGACGTTGGACACCCCGGCAACCAACTGCAACACAGGACTCGAGGTGCAAATAAAGGGCGTGCCAGGAAAACCGCGAGCTGCGCTCCCCATTAGTGCGAGCAGGCCAACGACAAACATGTTCAGGTACTATCTGCTTCCTCGAGGGCCGTGATAGGTTTACCGGGAGGGCTTTCAGCAGAATGGATGCTGCGTTAAAATAGAAACAAAACCCGGATCCGGGCAGTGTCCTGTTCCAGGGAGCGTGACGGGTTGCGATGGGATAAAATTGGTTATTGGTAAGTATAAGAGCAGGACCAGTGACCAAACACCAATCCGTAAGGCAGGGGTTTCTACACGAGAATTGCACCAATTACAATGAATACACAAGCTCAAAACAATTTATTTTGGGGGTCCGGGAGTTGGCTAGATCTTATGCCAGAGGACCCGATTCCCCTAGACCTCTCCCCATCCGCGTCGGTTCCTCCACCGCAGCCAACAAACCTTCAATCAGAAAACTACAGCACCAGCCAGGTTGGAAGCATCTAAAAGTACGGGATATATCTTTACTGCCCCTGAGAGCTACTTACTAACTCCGCATCAGTGTTTGGTTTTAATGTGCAACCGTATGGACAAGCTGGAATCGGCAATGGAAGAAACGACAAGGACGAGCAATAGAGCGTGGGAGAAACTGGACCAAGTCTTGCGAATGGTCGATCAGACGAAAGGGTGTATCGAAAAAGTAAGAGAGGGGTTGAGTGATTTCTCTCGTACGGTCATTCATTACGTGAAGCTTATGCTCGGCCACGAGGACAGCGAGTGACGTGGGGGATACGAACTACCAGGTAGTATATTTGACGAGTTCCAGGATCTTGGTGCCATTATTCCGATGCCTAGGACTTGGAGATAGACAACTAAGACATTGCATTCCCTGCTAATTTCTCGTTATATATCTTGCTGTGAGTAAACGCCCGAGACTGATTGATTGATTGATTGTATTTATCGTGGGTGCAGTCCCTCCATAGGGCAAACCACGCCTCCCAGAGCCATTGCATCGCAAGGTTGTAGAGGTGTCAGTCTAGATACATTCAGATCCGCGCACGAGCCTATCCTCGCTGTAGCGGTACCAACCTGGAGTGACCAGATGGTTTTAGTCAATACCCAAGCACGATTCCGTCAGAAAAACCTCCTGTCCAGTGACAAAACGACCCAGTGAACCTCAGTCCTCTGGTATACACATCGTTCTTGTAGCCGTTCGATATATGTCGCATTGGTGGGTGAAGTAGGTGTTTGTTATCTGCTGGTGAGGGAAACCATAAGGGGAAAAACCTTGCAGGAGTGGGTGTTGTGGAGACAAGCTGTTTGGCTATCGGGCTCTGCGATCAGGGGCCTCTCTACTGTGGTGTGCTGGTTGTCGACTCGCACAAGCCGGGTCAAAAGGGGGCCATAGCAGGATTCGAACCCACTTGTTCTCGTCGCCCACCGCACAAACGAGAACACAACCAGGCGTATTTGACCATTGCGCCATACGGCCTAAACGCCCGAGACGACAGCCCATCATAACACTACAATATATAAGAGCGGCCTCACAAAAATAACTATTTTTCTTGGCGCCCCGCTGTTAGGGCGCAACCTTGATATTTGCACTAAAGCAGGCACTTCTCTCAGTAACTGACTATCTATGCCAAGGCACAAGAGAATTTTTCTCACAAGCTGGATGAGACCCTTCTATAACGGGCCCCCAAACACGCCCGTGGCCGTCCTAAAGACAACCACCGGCGGCGTGCTCAAATCCCCGGCCCCTAGAAAGACATATGGCCCGGCAACTCCGAGCAGGCTCCGCCAAGCGCTGCTGGACGACATCAGCAGCAGCCCGTCACAGGTCTCTGAGGCTGACTTCACCGTTATTTCCCCTCTAAAAGGAAAATCCCAAAATATCAATGACAGCAGCACCACTAGAATGAAACGACCTTAATTGAACGAAATCTCGACAGACAAAGCCATTACACACGATATAGAGAATAAAACCTCCTCCTCAGAGTGTCAGGACCAAGGTGCCAGAATACTGGCTAAAGACAAGCACCTTTATGAAGCCAGGATAACAATGTTTCAAAAGTGTGCTGCAGCGGTTGATAAGACACTTGAGAAAGCTGGAACCGAACTATACTCCCATGCCAAGAAGTTCAGCGCTTTCTTCTTTAAATGTCTGAGCGAGTGGCTGAAAACCCGAGATCTGCCCAAAAGGAAGACTATCACTGGGGGGATAGGGATGGTAAAGCCCACCATGACCTTTGCCCAAGCTGTCTCCTCTAGCCAACAACAGCATCCACGGACAGTCAACACTACCATAGAGAAAACACAGCCTGGCACCCGCATCACTACCAACTAACTGAAAAAGAAACAAGATGATCTCCTTGTCTTTGTCCGCATGGATAATAGCCACCTAGAGCCTTACGGAATAAAGTCTACACTGAACAGAAGACTTAAACTCCACCCTTAAGAGCTTAGAGAAGTGACCCGATGCCCCTCCGGATTTACCTTACACTCAAGGGACAAGCCAACTCAGGCTAAGCTCCTGGCCTTCTAAGAAGAAATCACTGATATTCACAAGGCAGAAAAGATCGAGACCCACACAGTCTGGCATCACTATAAGGTCGATGGATGCCCAAGAAAGGTTATCAGTGCAGAAGGATTGACAATCGACATTACCGACATTGCTGTTACTGATAAAATTAAAGCCCAAACAGGTGACAGACCTTTAGGGTGCATACTCTCAAGGAACACAGTTGATTCTGATCTAGAGACCACATAGGTGATCTCTCTGCCCCTTGCAGCAAAGAAACCATTCACGCTTTTTATTCACTTAATGATCTCAAGGCACATTCAATACTCCCCCAAGGTCTACCAATGTGTGAGCTGCTTCAGATACCATAGTAGGAACTATCGATGTGAAAAGCAAGTATGTGCACGTTACGCCAGTACAGTACACCAGGAGGAGTACGAAAAACCAATCCCAAAGTGTGCCAACTGCAAAGGACCTCATGCTGCCAACTTCGACAAATGCCCTGCACGCCCCAAGGTTGTGAAAGGCATCACCCAGAAGCACACATGGGAGCAAATCCAGGAAATAAGGGCCAATACGCGCCTGGGAGGGTGAGTTGGCCGAGTCTCTTCATGCCAACCCGAGTTGAGCCAATGTAAGTTGGAATAGCATCGGTTCCCTTCGTCGTTAAGTCGAGTCTCGCTTTTGTCACAATTTACCCGCTCGCCTCGCATGATGGGGGCGTCATAGGTCCCTCGTGGTCCATATGATTCTGACTGTGCTAGATGCCAGGCCAGTCCGAGGTCAACGGCTTCCGCCAACCAGAAACAGCCTTATCCAGAGAACAGAGAACATGGGCAAAGTGTTTTGGAACCAACAATCCAGGCCCAGGGCGTCTAAACCCGCCATTGGATAGGCAGACCCATGCTACGCCGCTGTATTGATAGCTTCTGTTGAATAACAGGTGTCATGAAGATGAGCCGAGTCCGACCGAAAAAACCACGGTACGGCGGAAACGACCAACACCAAAAACTAGGAATCAATCAGTGGCATCTGAACAGACAGAACAGATACAACACACAATGCAAGACACCAATAATCACCCTCTAATCACTGAACTCGCTTGAATCTGACAATTAAGAGTCTCATTGGCTTGATCATCTAAGTTAACCAATCAATGACAAGCGACTTTCAGTCAATCGATACAATGGCGCAATCAGCAACGAAAGACTCGAGTGTTTTCCACGGCCCAGAGAATTAGGAGTCGTGGGACAGAGAATTTTAATCGAGAGCAATTGCTCTAGAGCTCTGGGATCACATCAATCCGGACGATGAAGAACGAGAGGAGTGGCCAGAGCCTCCACAGAAGCCTAAATACGAACATTACCCAAAATGTCTCGATTGTGACACTCGAAGCTGAGGTACTTCTCACACTTTAGACGATACTGCACCAGGGAACAAACGAACCGAACAAATCGATCTAAATAGACACCCACGAGCGGTGTCCGAGATGACGACGCAAGGAAGAATGCTATTCAACGCAGACTAGACTGTGTTTGTCTATGAGGATTAGAAATACGAGACCCATCGCAAGAATTACAAGGAAATGATACAATGGGTGCTCAACAACGTGTCAACTCATTACAAAGACACAGTCTGCCGACCAACCAAGCTGCTTGACTCGTGGTATACAGACCTAAAAGAAATCGTAAGTGTTAGCGTGGCACAACTCAAGCCTGCAGCTCGAGACCGATATCGAGAAGCAGTCAAGCCACTTAACAAGCTACCCAGGGATTTGGCCGCATAGATCAACAACTGGGAAGCTATAGTTGCTATCGCCAAAGAAAAAGACGTTAGTGATGTAGCAGATTCCGAGTCCATCTTCTCGGATCTATCACGGGCTCTACGCAAAGTCATTCCGGGATGAGTCTCAACATTTCGAGCTGCAAATCGAAACCAGCTAGAAGGAGGGAAGATGAACTTCAGACTTATCGCCTCCGATCTCTGAGAACATGCAGCAACGCTCTACGGAGCACACACGTCTTTGAAAATAGCCAAAGGTTCTTTTGCAGTACAATTTGGCGACAAAGCAGATCAAGAAGACCAGGAGGACCATTCCGA